TGTGTGATAAACATTGAACCCATGACCCCTAGAACAGCGTTGTATCAGTAACAAGCACGCTTACTAATGAGCCAATGCCGCTCCTTACAATTTTATTATGTTGAAGAGATAACGGGATTGTATCGTTGTTATCTTAACAACAAACTTATTTTACAATTTTTTCTAGCTTTCATATTCGCAAATGTGATCGCTGACTTGATTAAATCCATGCTTGATGCAGTCTTGTTTTCTACTGATATCAACGATAAATGTCGCAGCCGATCTTGACCTAAACTATTTCTTAGATAATTTTTTATTATTTTTAATTTACTGAGCGATCTTTCAGCTGTTGCAGAAGTGACAGGAATAGTAAAAAATAACAACATCGCTGTGAATACTTCCGTAAGATCACACTCCATAAATCCGTATTTTGTTATTATTTTCTTACATAACTGATGAACAGTCCATGTTTGGTCTAATTCAGGTAAAAGCAAGTGATATACATTAATAAATTGAAAAGAAAAGTTAGGTCCTATTATACTGGAATATTTATTTTGAAATTGGTCACACTTTTGTAGTAAAGTTTCTTCATCTGTGGCAAGTAAGAATTTTGGAGTTAAAAATTCAAATATTTGACATACTGTATTCATACCAGTAAAACGCGTATTTAACTGAGCTATTATTGTATCCAAAACATTGTTAAAAATTTTTATTTTAAATATTTCTTCCCTGTTTTTGAATCGGTGGTCAGAAGCTAATTCATCAAAAAATTTTTTAACTTTCCTTTGGCGTTTTTCTGAAAAATTAGGATCTATATCATATTTTCTGGCAGTTTCACTTGCTTTATACTTGAATAAGTCGAAGTCATTTCTATAAATTTTTAATTTTTTTTCAATCTCTACTAAAGCTTTATTTGCCTCGTTCAAATCATGGTGCATAAATTTGCAAAGAAACACAAATTCAAAATCAAGCATTTTTGTCTTTATACTGTTAGCATCATTGCGCTCATCTTTATCACGACTTTTAAGGGCTATTTCTGATAATGCTTTGATTATATCAAAAAACCTAAGTTTTACTGCAGATATAGTATTAACTCTACTCGACCATCTTGTTGGATTTAATTTTTTTAGAGTAATTTCTGATTCACCGGTAAATTGTGATAGTAAATCACAACGCTTAATGCTGCCTCCGAAAAATGTATACATTTCTTGTATCGTGGAGAAAAAATTATGTACTTCTACGCAACCACTAACAGAATCATTTATCACCAAATTTAAGTTGTGACTAGCACAGTGTACATACTCCGCATTGGGCTGAATGTCCTTTATACGTTTTTGTACACCATTATACATACCACTCATAACACTGGCTCCGTCGTAACCTGGACCCACACACTTTTTCATATCAATACTTTTTTCAGCAAATAATTCAGTTACTTGGTTTACCAAATCTGCTGCACCATGTTTAGTGACTGCATACAAGCCTAGAAATACTTCTCTAATTTCTGTATCGACTGGCTCTCTATTTTCCGATCTGGTTATCACTGCGTATCTCACAATAATGCTTAGCTGATCGACTTTCGAAATGTCCTGTGCGGTATCCATGATGACAGAAAAAAATGGTGATGCTCTAATTTTTTCAAGAAGATGATCCTCAAGTGTCATCCCCAAACATTCGATCATTTCATTTTGAATTTTCGGACTTAGATATCTTGTTGCTCCTAAAACATAAAAAGTAAAATACAATAGTTATTTTCGATATACAATACAATAGTTTTTCATGCCAGCGGCAGGAACTTTGACTTACCAGCCGCTGGTGCATGAAAAATAAAATACAACCCACGGCCGTATTCGGACGACAATATTCGGACGATCTGAGGCTTTCTTTACTTTTACGGCCTAGGGTCGTAATATACTATTTCTGCACTAGTGCATTTTTGCGCACGAACGAGCCGAAGGCGAAAAAGAGCACTGTTTCTTCACACAGAATAATAAAAAAGCTTTTTTCATACAAATATGTAAGCAGAAAATTATTTTAACATTGCAGTTATTACCTTTGGGCAAATCCAAAACTTGACGTAATATGCTATCATACCTGGCGACAAGCTGTACCACAGACAAAAAATTTCCGTGGTATCCTTCCTGACTTAAATCCTCTCGATGCCCCCTTAAAGCCAAAGAACTTTTTGCCAAGGTAAGTATAATATCGAACAACCTTTGGAGAACCATTTTCCAAAATGATGCTTCTTTACGAATTTCACTCTCAAGTTCCTGGTCGATTGTATTATTTTTTTTCGAAACATCGTACACAGCACATGCTTCCATATGAATACTCGAGATACTGTGTTGCTTAAGGTGGCTCCAGTGGCCTCAATGTTAAAATTATAAATAACCCAACCGAGGTTAATAAAATTGAATTATATTCTTTGAATTCCCATCTTTCTATTCGTATAAAAAAAAATTAAGGTTGACGATGAAAATTGTAAGAAATCATGCTTACAAAATCGTAGTTTTAAGACAGGTTAGATAGGAAATGCAAGCTTACGCGATATACAACCTACTGCTGCACTTATATAAATAACCCGTAAGGTGTAAAAAACATACTATCTTGTATATATTATTACGCAGTTTTCGATGACATGAGAAAAGTGTCTTGTTATCGAACAAAATCTTTAAATAATCGGAGACTAAGTATACAGTTGCGAGTGCAAGTCAGCTCTCAGCTGTCTGCATTCTGCAGAGTACATATATATAGGTATAACTACTCTTGAACTTAGGAGCGTACCGTAACAGTTCATCAATTAGGGCACCATAAAACTTTTTTGTTTTTTTATATTAACTCACTAAAGTAACAGATAAAATGTAGAATATGGCTTACAACAGTCTCTACGATAATTTTATACCATATTTTAAAGAAAATAATGATTAATTTTTAGTCTCCCCATTTTGATACGGCACTAGGCGCTGGAGCCACCTTAATTCTTTCTGATAAATGTTTCCAGTCCCGAATACCTGTACACCATAGACTATTTTTTTGCGTAGCAAACAACCAGCATGGTTGACAATAGGCAGCATCTAGTATTTTGGAGTAACACAGCCAAAACCGATTAACTGGTCCATACTTAGAAGTAGAAAAATAGTACGATACAGAAAAGCATCTGTTATTTTGTTGGGTGTCTTTCGGAAAAGGTCCTGGAGTCTGTAGTGGTCCTACATAAATAATTAAACGTTTTTCTTTATCACTCAATATTTTATTCTTGAAGTTTCCCAAATCATAGGAATTCTTATATAAATTTTCGGAAAACGGTAATGTAAGTAATGTTGATGATCTTTCGTCCGTTGCGTGTGCCACGTAAACATCATTGTCTATGAGATCGGCGAAACTGTCTTCAACTCTTAATTGTGTTGAATTTTCTTCAGATGATTTCTCGACTGATACTGCAACCATCATACGATCTGAACCACTATCAACAAAATTGTATGAACTAGAAGTACTTGTAGAAGGTGCACTAAAAAATGTATCAATCTTAGGCAATTTTTGAAGACTGTATACTTTTTCCTGCCGTTGTTTACGCTTCAAAGCACCACTAGGTGTCTTTTTTTTATCCATGATTTTGATTTTATAATTCATGCAATACCACACAATACACTATCGACTGAAACGTAACTTTGAAAACTAAACGGAACCTGGTGTTTATTCGTATGAACTCGAGTATTCACAAATGACTGGCGAAAATTATTCAGGTGTGCCATTGTTTTCAAAGAATCGACTTTAAATGTTTACATTTTGTGAGCTCTATTACTCGATATATAAGTATACGAAAATATAAAATCATTCGCTTGTAAATAAGTGTGTGTATATACGGTAACACATACGCAAAAGACCCGATTTAGTAAGACGTATATATTTACATTATAGAAACATATTCGTCAATAATTTTTTATTTATTTCGGACCGCTCAACCTTTATCGTCTTTAGATTTCACCCGAAGTCAAGAACCGCTGCCAACTCATTGGTACATTATTGCGTTACTCATTATTGCGTTATTCATTTTAGTTATATTTTTTAAATATTTAAATTGCTTAATTTATTTCTATATTGGTAGCCGTAGAAAAATGTTTACCTCACAGCTATACCTATATAGTATATGATGGCGTAATCGCATTACGATTAACGTTATACTCATCAGAAGTAATACCAACTAACTCAACATTTTTGGGATTGTACCACTTAGCGTTTGAGCCTCCATAATTAAAGGAATCCCGAATAAGGACTTATTTTACTTACGTTACTTACCTCGAATTGTAATTTTTCGTCCATCACAAAGCTTCCTCTATTAGAAAACAGAGCTTACCGATAAATTATAATGTATCAATAAATAACTCTTTATTTTAATACATTGTCATTTTAAATTAAATAAAATTTTAATCCATACAGTACAAAAAAAAAAAAGGATTGTTAGGTTGAAATTTATTTTTTAATTTTGGCACCGAAGGGCCCCGGGGCGTTTCCCCACCTAGCCCTATAGTAGTTACGCCACTGATTGTAACAGTTGCTGAACACTTTGCGGTTGCTATAAAATATAGGTAACTTAGTACGTGTTAATACGAGTCTGAAGTTTTCAGCACTCGCCAGAGCATTTAATGATTCAAAACATCTATAATATCATTAAAACAACTGCAAAAGAACTAACAAACGTGGAAAAATTATTCTTAGTTTGGAACTCGAAATATTAAGCCAGCGTCATTTTAGTATTCAACTTTTTTTTTCGTTTCTTAAAAATTCTCTGGGTGAGCGCTGGACTCGTATGTTTATTACGTTCTAGAAAATGTTTGTTTACTGCTACAAAATAGTTATCAGATGTGTTAACCTTACGTTTGATTCTTTAAATTTTTATACAATTAGTAAATACATTATTTTTAAAAAAAATATCGTTTTGATCCTAGTACACATGTATTACACTTTACATGACTATAACTTTGCTTTTTAGAATATTTTCTTAAAATAAGTAATTTTTTTGGATAAATAAAATGGTAATTATAAATGAGTAAATGTTTTTTACCCTTTAAGAAACTATGATATTAAGTTCGTATTACACTTACATACACTCGTAGTACATGCAGTTTTATATTATAGTTTTGAGACATTACCTTCTTGGAACTATAGGATCGTAAAATAATCTTGAGTCAAGTAATAGTGCTGTAAATCGTAAGTCTTCTTTTAGCGTGCGTAAGTGAAAATTTATTATTTTTCTTAACCTGGCAGTTTTTATATAGTTGTACAATGTAAGATTGAAATAAGTACATGATAAATACTAAACTTTAAACTCATTACACTTTGTATTAGTAATATTTTATGTGGCATAATGCTTTAAAAAACCAAAATTATATTTTTCTTGACGTGTACTTTTGTACCTTTGCGTAGACGACACATTACGATTTTGTCGGGCTTAATAGGTTTATGTGTTGATGAAAATTGATTTTTCTACAAGACTTACATTTATTTATGATTTTTAGAGAAAATATAAAAAAATTATTTTCATACACTAGTCAACAGGCCTCGGGCAGGGGCTTTATCTTAGGTGTTTCAGTTATACTTCTAGTGTTTCAGTTATAAGCCTAGTATAGGCTAGTTTCAGTTTTATACTTTGTGCCCATGATTACAAAAATACCATACATGCAGGTTTACAGAATAACAACTAATGCAAATAATAATAATAGGTTCGTTACTGTTACTAGCCCGTGATACATTTTTCTTGTTCATGTATCATGGGTTTATCGTCTTTTATAAGCAAATTTTCATTCATTTTTACTTTTATCGATACAACATTATCGTACTAACACCCTTTCACTGAGTCTTTTAAAACATTTTTAAATAAACATATCATTTTCTGCTTGGAATAAAATAAGTGTTTGGGTTTTTTGTGAGCGTATTCGTTATGTTCAGTAATCCGAAACAGCGCCACCTGCACGGCAAAACGGATGTGATATGTGATACTGGATAATACTATTTCTTAGCCTGTTATGGGCTGCAAACTTTTTAAATTATTTTTGGCAGTTTTAATCCAGTATGGTACTTAAAGTATCGACTTTTAGTGTCAAGAATTTGTTTTAAACATACTACAACTATTATTTAATATTAAAAAAAAAAGATAATGTAACAAAAAAATTGTTTTCTATTGAATACAAATTCTTAACAGTGAAAATCTATACTTTAAGTACCATAATGCATTGAAACCACAAAAAAGAATGAACAAAGTTTACAGCCCATAACAGGCTATGTAATAGTTTTATCCAGCATCGCCTCCTTCTTGCCGTGCAGGCAGCGCTGTTTTAGATTACTGCACAAGGCGAATACGCATGCATGTGAACGTGTGAGCAATACTTGTACTTGAAATATAATTCAATTTTGTATCAACAGATTTCACCAAATTCGGTGACTACTAAATCAAGGCCAGTTCCAAAATACGATGCCGCAATTTTCCAATTATTCGCAACTTGAGATTTAAATTTTGATCTTACTGGAAGCATACCATTTCAAAAGTTTATGCAAACCATCGTTCCTACGTACGCGCTTCCAACACCAGATGATTTCAGATCTTTGATCTCAGATGTAATATTTAATAACTGTCTCGGACCTCAGAATAAATTGTATTCATGTAATATTATGGGGGTTGTTACCATATTGCTAGACACGAAGTACTACACAGTATCATTTATCGTTAAAAATCAACAGTATTTTTATTTGGATTCAACAATAATGAAGAATGACTCTTTCACCGTTGATACAGCGGAGGCGTTCATCAAATCATCGGTTCAAATGGCTTATACAAAGATTAATCTAATGTTAAATATGTTATTTCTCAAGGTAGAATTCTGATTGATAGTAAGTTAACAGTTACAATTTTAATGGAAGATAACTCTACAAAAGTAAGTGTGTATGTATATACCTCTTTCCAGACAATATTAAAAAATTTACTGAGACACTTTATCGTAACTGATGAAGCACACCAAACGATTATTACAAGCTTAGAAAAATTGAAAGAAAAATTTAGTAATTCTCAGTACAGCATAGGTGATGCTGCTCACGATTTTTCGTTATTTTGTGACCAAGAAACCACCGATGATGATGTTCAGAATGCACTAACAGAAAACATGAGTTACTTCTTTGTCCCCGTTGCCTTACTGTGAAACTACTTTAGTCATCAGTACAAATGCCGTAATATTAC